GACCTTAGGGGCTTTCGGGCTTAGGGTTTAGAGTCGAGGGTTTTTTAAGGGTTTAGGGTAAGAGTCTAGGGGTTATTTAGGGGCTCAATAGGGTCCCTTTTAAGGACTGTTAGTACAAGGGGGAACACCCTAAACCCCTTGCCCCTTCTATCTGGCCCTTGTAAGCAAGAATGTAGATTTTTTTGGGGGGAAGGGGGCCCTAAACCCTAAACCCTAAACCCTAAACCCTAAACCCTAAACCCTAAACCCTAAACCCTAAACCCCCTAGAACCCGAAACTTGACAGACAACTCTGTGGCAAAGCCGTCGGGAACTTTAGGGTTGCCGAATTTGGGGCTTAGGGTTTAGGGGGTTTAGGGTTTAGGGGTTTAGGGGTTTAGGGGTTTAGGGGTTTAGGGGTTTAGGGGTTTAGGGGTTTAGGGGTTTAGGGGTTTAGGGGTTTAGGGGTTTAGGGGGGTTTAGGGGTTTAGGGGTTTAGAAGTTTAGTGGTTTAGAGGTTTAGGGTTTTAAGGCTTTGGGGGGTTTCGGGTTTAGGGTTTAATTAGTTCAGGCTGGGAGTCGCCCTTCCCGGGACCATTGAGAACGTGAATGGCTAGTGTTTTGGGAGTTCAAGATTGGCAAGTGCGTAGATTCCTTTCACCCACAAGGCCGGGCAACCCCAAACAAGGTGGTAACGTTCCCCCCCCCCCCCCCCCCCAAAAAAAAAAAAAGAGTAATAAATAAATAAAGTAAAAAAACAAATAAATGTATATATATATATATGTTTTTACTTCGAACATCCCCACCTTCAGGGAGTCTCTGGGGTTGGGCACTCCAGGGAGTCTCTTGGGTTGGGCACCCCAGGGAGTCTCCAAGAGTAGACCGGGCGAGGACAAGAGTTCCGGGCGAGGAGAAGAGTTGAGTTTAAAATTTAACAACCCCACACCGAAGGTGGGGAAAAAGAGGAAAACAAATCCACCGAGCAATTTCGAGCGGCGTCCGAAGCCCCGTTGTCTATCACAGGTCAGGCTTCAGGGTCGCTCATATTCTCACCTTTGAACGGTCTTCGCAACATCCCAACTTCTAGGGTATGGTACCCAGAGTGTCCATTTGTATTGCTATTGTGGAACCAGGTACCCAAAAACCATACGAAATAGGGTTTTGGGGGTACCTAATTCCATAATAGTACTACAAATGGACCCTCTGGGGTATACAGGCCACTCTATAGGCAAAAGCTTCAACAGAAAAAGCCTAATATGGGGGTCAGACTAATTACTCCTAGTGTTCCCTTGTGGTCCCTATATAGTTTGATTATAATGACCCCCCAAAACCCTATTCTAACTATGAAGGCCCCTATATTTCACCCTGAGACCCCAAACCCTAAACCCTAAACCCTCAACCCTTAAACCCTAAAAACTAAACGAGCCTGGAGGCAGAAGTGGATCAAGCCCCTGTCCCAACACGAACTTGTCATCGAATCTTCCGGAAGCGATGTCTGCGATGTCGATCGCCCTTCAGATGCCAAGGCATGTAATATAGGGGGCCTGAATGGGTTTAGGGTTTAGGGTTTAGGGTTTAGGGTTTAGGGTTTAGGGTTCAGGGTTGAATAGTTTTTTTGTTTTTTTTTTCTTTTTTTTCTTTGGGGGGGGTGCTATAGTATAATGATGAAGGGACCCTAAGGGAATGCTATTAGTACTGCAGATGCCAGCATCCCAAGGCATGTGAAACCCTTCGGGGTTAAACATGACTTTTCAAGGGTATAGGCTTCAAGGAAACCCTATAATGCTTAGAAACTAAGGTACTCCATGGCCGCCACATTGAGTCTTCTAAAGCTCTGATTGGTGCTATTGAGCAACTCAACACGCGGATCTGATGGCTCGCTCGACACTTGGGAACTAGGCTCTCCAGTGCACAAGGAACCGACTGGGCACTTTTTGTGTGGGAGAGGTTCTCTAGTCTGATCCTCACCTTGGTCCCTCAACCCATGACCGGAAACCCTACAACATCTCAAGCTCAAGGCTTGAAGCTGCTTAAACTGCAAGGTTGCGTTCTCCACTCATGTTGCAAGTCGCACGACTGAAGATGTACCGTCCTCTGCCCCTGGGACGAACCCTCATGCCAGTGGCCCATTGAGGCTGCATTCCGGTACAGTTGCGCGCCTTTTTGTTGAAGAGGCCATGTTTCTGGGACTTGAGTCTGAGGAAGCCAAATACCAGTGCCCGAGCTGCATTCTGGACAGACTTGCCCTGCCTGAGCCACATTCCTGTACGGCTGCCCGATGCTTGTGGCGCCATCCCCCACCCGTTGCCAACCTACTGCCCTAAACCCTAAACCCTAAACCCTAATCCTTCAACCCTAGACCATCAAAAAACACTGTACTGCCTGCTGCCCGCCTGAAAGTACATGTGATGCACATCAGTGTGTCCGAAATTGGGGTACGTAATCAGGGGATCCTTATTGCAGCGGAATCTTGTACTACTTGGGGGTCTATGTGAGGAGGGGACGTTGACGTACTTTAACCGGTTCGCACTTCAAGCCTAACAACTCCGCGTGTCGGATGGGGAAAGAAGGGCTCCAGGAAAAAAAACAGACCGAAGGATCCATGTACCTCATGTGCTTGGGCCCTAAACCTACTATGTAGGAACCCAAGGCCCAAGTATGCTTGGGCCCTAAAGCTACTAAATAGTATATAGGAGCCCCCTTTAAGGCCCAAGTACATGCTACATAGGTGCATGGATCCTTAGGGCAGTGGACTGGATCAGGGCTGGGCTGGCCTGTAGCGCTGGAGTGGAAGGCGTAGCTCCTTCGCCTGTTGCTGGATGTGAGCTCGGCGCGACGTGCTGGAGTCGGTGTTGATGAAATACCTCGAGTTTAGGGTGTAGGGTGTAGGGTGTAGGGTGTAGGGTGTAGGGTGTAGGGTGTAGGGTTTAGGGTTTAGGGTTTAGGCTTTAGGGATCTCTGCGCGGCTCTCGGAAAGTCCCTGAACCCTGAACCCCATGCTTTTTGAGGGTCCAGGCAGCCAGTGTGTTTAGTTGGGCCTTGCACCAGTGATGGTTTTCCGCTGCTCAATCTCTGAACGTTTGGGCTTCAGGGTTTAGGGTGGTATACTACTAGGATGGCCCCTAACATCCTCTGAAAAATATTCCTGAATATGATCCTCTTACACCCGAATAGGGGGACACAAAAGGGAACACATAAATGTCCCAAGGGGCTACCTAGAGTAGCAAGCCCCACTTAGGGGCTGAATACCCTTCACCTTTCATATATAGTAGAATTCTATATAACCGAAAAGGTTTAGAGCTTAGGGTTTAGGGGTTAAAGGTTACCTACTCAGTCCCTGAGCCCAAAGCCGAAAACTCCGCAACGCGAAAGGCGCGACGGCCCAGACCTGCAGACGGGCTGCACGAGGAGTGGCTCGTCCAACAAGCCTTCCAGCTCGAGCTGGCGAGCCAAATCTGTTTCCTCAGCTCAAACCCTAAACCCTAAACCCTAAACCCTGAAACCCTAAACCCTGAACCCTAAACCCCAAAAACCCTAGGGCGTTTAATGGAAGCTCTCTGTCGTTTTGGGTGACAAAGTCTCAGGCTCAAGATGGACCAACCCCCAAAAGACTGGTCTCGGTCTAGGGGCTAGGGCTAAACCCAAAAAGCACTCTAAATCGGTTAACCCTAAACCCTAAACCCTAAACCCTAAACCCTAAACCCGAAACAACCAGAAATCAGCCTCTGAGAACCCCTATGCTCGACCCAAACGGCCTGTGAACTCGACTCCAACCGACTGCGGCATGTCGATTCTGTTGTGGTGGTACTCATCTATCTGAGACTAACTAGGGCCATAACGATACGGTTTCAACAAATGTGTACATATACATACATACATATATATATATATATATGTATATATATATATATATATGCAGAAAATATATATATATATATCTATAAAGAGATGAGTGTACACAAACAAGAAAACCAATATACGTGTAAACATGAACATGCACAATATGAACAAATAAATGCCGCAACCAATCAACCAACCAAGCATCCAACCAGCCAATCACTTCATCGACCCAATCATCAACAACAATGTAGATCTTCTTATATATATATATATAGAGATATGTATGATGTGTGTATATATATATATATTAATATATATATATATATATATATGTAGACATACATATATATATATATACATGTCAACATCTGCATGCTTGCTGCCGCGGCTCGTGGCGGGGGTCACGGATGGCCCGGGCTGCCGCGGCGAGGGAGATCAAGGCCAGCCCAACCCATGCCGCAGGCATGGCGAGGCTACGGAGTGTGTGTCTTTAAACCCTAAACCCTAAACCCTAAACCCTAAACCCTAAACCCTAAACCCTAAAGCCTAAACCCTAAACCCGTGCAGTTTTCCCAGACCCCTGGGAGGATCCAAAAAGTAGAACCCACAAATAATGCCCTGTACTACTCTTGGGTCATTCTTAGGACCCCTTAAGGGGATCTACTGCTTGGATCCTCCCAGGGGTCTGGGTTGGGGCAGCGCAGCAGGGTCGACAAAATCCCTGCACACTAACGAAGCCTGACCCCCTAATAGAAGGCCGAAATGATTAGAATAGGGTTTTTGGGGGGTGGGGGGGAGTATAGTATATTCATGTAGGGACCAGAAGGGAACGACCCCTACAGGAACCCTTCATTCCTGGTGCCCCCGCGATGGGTTTGGGTGTCACGGAACTTTTCTTTGAAGTGGGCAAACAACAGTGGCCCTGCCAGAGCAGCTGCGGAGACTTCAAGCTGAGACATGTTAAGCACGTCAGGGGTGGGATTGGGTTGGGAGGCTCTGTCTGCAGAAGTGTTGCGCACTGGGGGATGCTGCCGGAGGGGCTACAAGGGCGGCTGACGCACTCGGAAAACAATTTGCAAACTCCTGAAATGGATTGGCGTGACCGAGGGATAGCTAGGCTAGGCCTCCACTGTACAGTGCCACAGCCACCCCACATAAACCAAGTCAGTCCGCGAGGAGGTCCTTGATGTCTGCGCCAGCTGCAAAAGCTTTGCCTGTGCCGGTCACCACGGCTGCCTGCAATGGTTACCCCGAAACCCTATAACCCTAAACCCTAAATCCTAAACCTTAAGCCCTAAACCCTAAACCCTAAGGGCCGGTTACAACCTCAGGGCTTCGAATGGCTTCGGGTAGCTGGCGGCTTGACAAACGCCGTCTTGAGATAGAGAGTCTCTACTTGGAGGTACATGGCACTTGTTAACCCATTACAACTGTACTTATCACTGTACTTATAGCCATATTAGGGCACTTGAAGGGCTTATCTATCAGTACAGTTATAATTGGTTCCAAGTATTAACCCCTAAGGATCCCTGTACCTATGTCGTTTGTACTTGGGCCTTAACAGGTTTCCTATGTAGCAGCATTAATAAAACTAGGGCTCAAGTAACAATTATATACTCTACAGGTACATGGGTCCTTAGGGACCCGACGACGGACCAACGCAGCGGCGCGGCGACGGAGTCGGGCCTTGAGCGTGGAGTCTGCGTCGACCTCCCGAAAATAAGACAGGGCTCTCCTGGGATTGACCTAGAGTAAGCCATAAGTACCGTGTGAAAAGGGAGAACTACACCAATACTATAAATTGAGGTACATATCGCAACGGGGTTTCGAAGGCGTTATGGGGTTTCAACGGGTTTCTAAGGGGTTATGTGGGGTTACTCTAGGTTTTTGAGTTCTTGGGCAAACTGCCCACTTTCCCTTCACTCCAAGGGTAGAGCTCTCACTCCGCTGGGCTGGGGCTAGTTTTTTCAGGAAGGTTTAAAGTTTAAGGTTCAGGGATTGTGGTTTCGGGCTTTAGGTTTAGGGTTAAAGTTTATAGAGTTTAGGGTTTCAAGTTTGGAGTTTCCAGGGTTTAGAGGGTTTAAAGCTTAGGGTGTAAAGTTTGGGGTTGAGGGTTGAGGGTGGAAACTCGTAGGGCCCTCAGGTGGCCCTACCTGTCCACAAGAACGGCCGAAACAGACTCGAGAGAGAGAGAGAGAGAGCACCCCCTCGGGCCTACAGCCCTACCTAAGTTCACGCACCCGACACAAGACACCTCACACCCGACACCCTACACCCCAAACCCTAAACCCTAAACCCTCAACCCTGAACCCTAAACTCCAAACTCTAAACCCTAAACCCAAAACCCTAAACCCACACCCTAGCCCTTTTGCCTCGTGGAGCTTCTCCGCCAGTGCCCGCATGAGGCCGTCCGACAAAGCATTGAGGGCTTTCGGCCGATTCAGCGTGAGCCTTGGGCCCGGTGGGAGTTAGGGTTTAGGGTTTAGGGTTTAGGGTTTAGGGTTTAGGGATGTTGGGATTGCTTTCGGGCCTTCTTTAGAACGAGGCGGGTTTGGGTTCAGGTTTCAGGGTTGAGTCTGGCAAAAAGGCACCGGGCTGCCTGGCGGGTGCTTTGGGATGAGAGCAAGATAAGGTTGAACTGCCAGGGGTTACATGAGTGGGCTTAGGGTTTAGGGTTTAGGGTTTAGGGTTTAGGGTTTAATTTAGGGTTTAGGGTTTAGGGTTACATGAGTCGGCCGCATGGGCCTTCTAGAGGCAACCCTAAGCCCTAAGCGCTACTTGGAGGCTCATGGGTAGTTATAAGTACGGTGATAATTATGGCAACTGCAAGGTTTAGGGTTTAGGGTTTAGGGTTTAGGCCTAGGGTTTACCTGGAGGTCCGTGGGTAGTTCTAAGTAGGGCTATAAGTACCCTAAACACATCCCTAAACCCTAAATCCTAAACCCCTCATTCGCCGCATCGCGCTCACTTTCCATGAGTGCTCCAGGCGTTCCGCGACGTGAGCCTCGGCCTCCACATCGAAGGGTTTCGGGTGTGCTAGGGTGTAGGGTGTAGGGTTTAGGGTTTAGGGTTTAGGGTTTCGGGTTTCGGGTTTAGGGTTCAGGATGTGCTCTGGATGGCTTAGGGTTGCCGTGCAAGATTCACTACCAGGCCCTTCACAACTTTAGGAGGCTGAGCCCAGGGAAGGCCCTAACGAGCTGTCCAAAGAGTCTTGGGCAAATTTGGGCAAGATGTACGAAAAAAGATGAACATCCTTGTTTCAAGCTACGAATACGAAGCTCAGAGGCTTACCCCCCCCCCCCCCCGAGTCATTTGTCGGCCCTATCAAAACCCCAAACCCGAAACAGGGTCTAGATCACTCTCTTGGCAATGCTGCTTCGCATTGGCATCTGACACTCCTTTTCGCATAACGCACGCTTAAGGGCTGGGAGCGTTGTGCCCAGCACAAGCAGCTGCAACTGCAGAGAGAAAGCTGGACTGGAATCAAGCGTCGCGGGACTCCCTTGTGGTAGCTTGTTGCACGCATTAGCCAGCCGTATTGGGGCTTACGATTCATAAGGGCACCCTGGTATAGACCCACACATAGTAGAATCCCCTCATAATAAGGACCTCAATAAGGTACCCCCAGTTTCGGAAACCCCCATGGTGTGCTTCTGCCTTCCCGACCCTGAAGGAAGATGAGCCGGGAGCGACCAATGTTTCGTAAGGCCGATCGAAACTGAGTCTAAGTGGAGTTTACGATATTCGGGGTGCCTTCTTGGGGTCCTTATTATAGGGGGATCCTACTATTTAGGGGTCTATTTTCGTCCGCTATTATCGTAAACCGCCAAGTGGAGGCAATGGTAACCAGCCCGGCTAGGTCCCAATAACCCTGACTCCCTAACCCTGCAGCAAGAGCCTTGAGGTCTGAGGCCCCCAAACTCCACTAAGCCCTAAACATCCTGAACCCTAAACCCTCAACCCTAAAACC